AAACCTCAAGTAGCTTTTAATGTGTTAAATACATAGTGTGTGAAAAACTGTGTTAAAAACAAAGCACAAGCATCTGCAACTGTAGATCTCTTGGTAAATGAGAGTTTAGACGAGTTTTCCTTGATTTCCATTCACTCTATGGACAAACAAAAGCATTGTTTTCCTCCGAATGTCTTTTGCTTCAGTGTGCAAATTTTTTACTTTTTCACTAGTAATTTTACCCCCAAAAAACATTTTTGCTAACTTTCCCTTTTATAATGAAAACTTGCTTTGTAAATGCAACAGAGGCAGGAGTGAATCTGGTATGGACAACGTCTTACAATTCGACTATTATATCCATGTGCTTTCAAGCATAGATGATACCTTCTATAGTGGAGTTGAGTCAACTATTCCAGGCGTAAAGTCCATAAAGTTCAGAAATTTGTATTAGCTTTCTTGTTTTGTTTGAGAATTTAGGGAATTTAGTACTCTATCAAAAAGATATTCAAACCTATAATGAAGATTAAATTCTTTACAATCATTCTTTTTAAAAGACTCTATTCTGCCGGGTGGTGGTGGCGCACGCCTTTAATCCCAGCACTCGGGAGGCAGAGGTAGGCGGATCTCTGTGAGTTCGAGGCCAGCCTGGGCTACCAAGTGAGTTCCAGGAAAGGCGCAAAGCTACACAAGAGAAACCCTGTCTCGAAAAAAAAAAAAAAAAAAAAAAAGACTCTATTCTATACTTTACAACAATGGCAGCCATATTCATATAAGTAATCAAATTTTCATCTCAAAAAAGGCAAAACATTAGTTCTCCAGGTTTAAACTCTGACTTTTCCAGCCAGTCAGGTGCTTCCATGGAAAATCACTTGCTACACAAAGCCTAGTTTGATCCCTGGAACCCACTAGGTAGGAGGAGAAGAGTGACTCCACAAAGCTGTCTTTTGACCTCCAAACATACAGCTTGGTCCTTGAACATATGTATACACACACTCAAAATATACTTTTTTAATCAGACTCAAGAGCAAAAATAATCTAAGATTTAAGAAAACAGGAGGATTTTATTACACACAGTAATTTTGAGGCTAAATTTCAAGGTCAACAATATTTTTAATTTTATTATGTTTTGTGGTTACATAATTGTTTTGTACTTCAATTGGCCTGTGAGTTTTTACGATACACAAGCATTATGGCAGAGATGTTGAATTATAGAAAAAGGGTCATGACCCACAGGAGTGTAAATCCCCATAATCAAGGTATACATCAAGCACTGCTTATTAGAAATGCTTAGAATGGAGTGTTTCAGATCAAAATGCGGGTATTTTGGAATATCTGTATATACTTAATGATACAACTTACAGATAGATCCAACTCTAATTAAGAGTTTCATCTATTCCATATACACATAATCTAAAGGAAATTTTATGCCGTATTGTTAATGTGCTTACATCTGAACTGAAACCATCTATGTGAGTTAACTTGTAATAAGTGTTACATGGAAAAAACAGCATCTAGGTACTATCATAAGAGAGGAAAATAAGGAGATATGGCTAGTCAAAGACCTAAATTAAGGGGCTGCAGGCAGGCAGTTCAGTGGTTAACAGGACTGGCTGCTCCTCCAGAGGACTTAAGTTCTTTTCCCAGCACCCACATCCGGAAGCTCATAACCTCCTGTAACTCCAGTTCCAAGGAATCCAATACATTCTTCTGGCATCTGCAAACTCCTGCACACATGTGGCATTCACACACACACACACACACACACACACACACACACAAAAGTAGTAATAAAAACACATTTCTTTAAAAGACTTAAAATACTCAAGGATACTCAGCTCCTAGGGAAATACAAACAGAATTGTGGGTTAGAGTTAACAAAAGAAAACTAATTTGAAAACCGACCTTTCTCTAAAAGCTATTCAAACAATGAAAGATACACCAGCTGACTGGGTGGATATATCTGAAATATAGTTAGACATTGTACTATTAAAGTATAATAACTATTAGAATATTAAAATAATTTGCACATATTTGGGAAAAGTGGTATCATGATTAGAAATGAAACAGTGGGCTTATTACTAATACAAAAGCTATCATCTCTTAAGAAAAATTCATTTTTACACCTGAGGAAAGCTGAGGAAACTCAATAAAAATATTTCTTCCCTTTCTCATTAAAAAAAAAAAAAAAAAAGTGAAGATAATCCTAAGTGTCTCTACCACTCTCGTCACAGGCCCTAAGCATGACAGCTTTGTACTTCCACCAGCAGGTGGTAAAAGGAGCTGTCATTCATGTCACTGTCACCAATATCAACTCTTCCACTATCAAACCCTGCAGCATCACTAAGATAAAAGCTGAGTCTGCTGGGAGCAAGGTCATTTTCCTCACCCTGCTTCCACGAAAGCAATGTTTCATATTTCCCTGAAAGATGTTAACAAGGCAGACTACAAAACATATCTACCGCATTTTCAAGATGAAACAAAAACGTGGCAGAAGACAGAACAATAACATTATGAAGAAATTACTTTCCCTTTAGAGAATTAAAGACATCTAATACTCAAAGTAGGTGGAAATTTTTAATTTAATATAAAAATTTTCATGTTAGTGCTAACAAAATGAGGACTCTGGGCACACAAAAAAACAGACCGGGAATGCAGAGATAAAGACAAATACATCAGCCCATATATTACTCATGATTCCATGCTACATCCTATATATGGGCTATTTTTATTGGTATACAATAGTATATGTTGACTGGATAGAGAAGATTATTGTACTACTCATTCCATAGGGCCGGCTAAAATGGAAAAATTAGCTAAGCATGATGGTGCACATCTTCAATCCACGTAGTCAGACAACAGAGGCAAGTAGATTACTCTGAGTTTAGGCCATCCTAGTCTACACATAGTTCCAGATCAGCTAATATTATATAGCGAGATTATGACTCCAAAAAAAGAAAGAAAGAAGCCAGGCATTGGTGGCACATACTTTTAATGCCAGCACTCAGGAGGCAGAGGCACACAGATCTCTGCGAATTCAAGGCCAGCCTAGTTACAGAGTGATCTCCAGGACAGCCAAGGCTACACAAAGAAACTCTGTCTCCAAAAGCCAAAACCAAACAAATAAACAAAATTAAATTTACCCACTCCTTGCTCTAAAGGTTTTCTTCCCATGTGTTTTTATTTGGTTACTCAACAAAATTCTAGCAAACTAGAGCTATCTTACTGTATAAAGCTGCCATAACTATATATACTACAATAAGTCAATTGTAAAAACAAAAACTTTAATAATGTCTCCCAAAAAAAAGTGCTTGACACACACTAACTCATCAGAAAATAGTAGAGGAATTGAAAGCAAACAAGTTTTTAGTTTCTGATCTTACTCCTGTATCCTAATTCAAACAATGTTACTCAAAATGTAGCCAACCTATATCAGAATTCTCTATAATGCTGGTTTAAAATGTCTTTTCCTCCTGGTCAGCAAGGTGGCTCTGTGGGTAAGGGTACTTGACACCAAGCCTGAAGACCAAGTTCAATACTCAGGACCCACGTAATAGAAGGAGAAGATCAACCTTCACAAGTTGTCCTCTGACCTTTCTACAGGTGTGCATGACACATGCATAAACACACACACACACACACACACACACACACACACACACACACACAAATAAATAAATAAAAATAAACATTGGGGTCCTTCTGACTTTCTCAATCAAAGCCTCTAGGGTTTCAGCTGACTTACAATCACCACAGCAGCTCACAGTGGAATTCTGAGCACTGCAGAGCTGGGAAGAACAATCACTGACTCAGGGCTGCAGTGTCACCCTGAGCAACACAGCACAAAGCCTTCTCAGAGAAAGGAGAAGAGAACCACTAATTTGATTATCAGAAGACTAAAGGTTCCGGATATTCAGGTTTCTAATAAATTAAAAGTTACAGATGCAGCTGACACTGAATTCAATTGATATCAAACTACCATCTTGAAGAAAAAAAATAAACTTATTGACCTTAAATACTTAACCGTACATACAACACAATCAATCCACCAACACATGAGCTTTCTAGGGACATAAATTTTGTTTTTATAAATAAGTCACTGATAAAACATTTCCATTGAAAACCAAATATTCATTAGACATAGTAGCACAGGTCTGTCATCCCAGTTGGAAGGCTGAGCTGAAGAAGGATCACAATTTCAAGGCATTCAAAGTTTGGATGGATTAGTGAGACCCTGTCTCAAAATAAATAAAAGGGCTGGGTGATATGGCTCAATTGTTGCCTATCAAACAATATGTGGCTGTGTGGGGGTGTGAGTGTGTGCACATGTGTACTGAGAATATAAAATGGTACCACTATAAAACATGACATAAGCCACTATGCTATTCAGTAATATATACCATTCAGACAAAATAGTTAATTATAAAAATCTCATGACCACTGTTTGTCACTAAATTATGTTATTCTGACCATAAAATGCTATTCTTGAATATCTTTACTCTTTTCAACAAAACTATTAAAATATATTGAACATCAAGAATAAGAATTACCTCTGGAAAAATAAAATAATTATCTCTCCAAATGGGGGAAGGGGGAGGCTAGGGGATGTGGAGTGGCTGGAGTGACGGCTCTTCAGAAAGAGTACTGGCTGCTGTTGCAGTGGATTCAGGTTTGGTTCCCAGCACCCACATGGTAGCTCGCAAGCATCT